ATCCCAGGACCCTGGGATCATGACCTGAGCCGAAGGCAGACGCTTAACCATCTGAGCCACCCAGGCGCCCCAAAATACAGGACAATTTAAAAAGTTGCTGGTTTTACACTATATGAAGCAGTTTGCTTAATCAAAATTTTCTACCTCGATATGAATTTGAAAAAGTTTTCAGTATTCTTGATTGCCACAATATTAAGTGGGGGTGTTGGCAGATATTTTTTGATGCAGAGTCTGGAATCTTTAGGAAATGATGGAAAAAATTATTCCAGGGCTAAAATTCACTAAATAAAAATGTACTGAAATGTAAACCGTGCTCAGAGCCTATCAGTTGCATTAAGCAAGAGTACCTATATTGTCGTCTTCTTTCCGTTGGAAATTGGATTTGTTCTATTCTAACTTTACACTTTGGCCCTGTTCCCAAGAGTCGAAAACAAGGGTGTAGCTAAATAAGTCCAACTCCTGGATTTCAGCCTGATGCTGTTAGCCGACGTCTTGGAACAGGGTCTAATAGCTAGCTGCTTTCCACAAAGTCAGCATTAGATGATAAAATCTTCATTCTTGATAGGGAGCTGCTGTTTAAGGAATCCTTTCTTTTAACACTGCTTTTTGCTCTCCTGCTTTGTAGAGGGCCATGTGGCTTTCACATCTGCTGCTGGTTTTCTCATCCAAAGAGTTTATCAGTGAAAGATAGGATCTAGTGGAAGAAGAGCTCTCCCTTTTGGTACAAGGGGGCTGCATTTCAGGATAGATTGGTTATGCTGGTGAGATTATTCTGCAGGTGTGAACAGTTTAATTTGCAACAGTGGTCCAATTGTCCACCAGAATTCTTCCTTCTTTGGCCAGTTGGATTTATTTTTTTTGTTTTTCATTTCAACCTAATTTTTAAAGCACACATATAAGCATAAAAAATATTCTTAACCAGAACCCCTAAGGTGGCTCTGGTCTATGAAGCCAGGATTTTATTTAATAATGTCATGAGGATGAGAATGGATGGCCGGTAATATTTAGACTTGGCTTTGTTTTGGTTTTTTATTTTTGTTTTCTTTTGTTTTTTTTCAAGCATTAAAATACAACCACAGGGGCGCCTGGGTGGCTCAGTCATTAGGCTTCTGCCTTCGGCTCAGGTCATGATCCGAGGGTCCTGGGATCGAGCCCTGCATCAGGCTCCCTGTTCAGCGGGAAGCCTGCTTCTCCCTCTCCCACTCCCCCGGCTTGTGTTCCTGCTCTCGCTATCTCGCTCTCTCTCTCTCTGAAATAAATAAAATCTTAAAAAAAAAAAAAAAATACAACCACAAAGTAATAAACATAAGTAGCATTTTCATTTGTTTCTTGCGGTGTTTTTATTATTGAAACCAGGGAAAAAGTCCTTCTGTTGAGTGGAATGTCCTGCTGCTTTTGGATGTGATTTTAGAGGGGGCTCACTCTGTCCCTCCCTCTCTCTCTCTCTTTTCTCTTTTAATCAAGCCGCCTTAGGATTTCAGTGAAATTGGGCCAGTTATAGAGGAATTGGCACCATGAACTATATGTGTGCCCTTGGAGAAAACCTGTTTCCTTAGATCTTTATGCCAAATTGGTAACTGACTAACAGTAAGGAACCCGGATTGGGAAGGACTTCTTGAGATTTAATTGTGCCACAAAGTATGCTGGAGAAGTGATTTTGCTCTGACTTTGTCTCTTTTCTGCATCCCCTCATTTTCTGCTTTGTAGGTTTTAAGCTTTCAGGACTAAAGTCCCACTACATTTGTTTGTGATCCTTGTGTACTTCTGATGCTGACCTTTCTAGCTCCTTGCTATCAATAGTTGTCTCTTGCGGGATTTAGTGTCCCTGTGGGAGTGTTTCATGCTGAAATGTCTCGAAAACAGTGTAGCTTTTAGTAAGCAAAGTTATGCGTTGGGCGATTCATCGAACAGCTTTATCTTGCTCCTATTATATAATTTTATGGTTTTGTGTGTGCGCCCACAGGGTTCCTGGCACTCTAAAAACAATGTTTTAAAATGGATAACAATTACAATTTGTTGAATTGAAAATTACAATTTTTTTTTTAATGGGAAGAGTAAGCTGTTATAATAGGAATTGTAATTCTGAGAAGTAATGGTTTTAGGATTTACTAACATTCATTTTTTTTTTTTTTTACATTTATTTATTAGAGAGAGAGAGAGAGTGCAAGAGGGGGAAGGGTTAGAGGGAGAAGCAGACTCCCCGCCGAGCAGGGAGCCCGATGTGGGACTCGATCCCGGGACTCTGGGATCATGACCTGAGCCGAAGACAGTCGCTTAACCAACTGAGCCACCCAGGCGCCCCTAACATTCATTTTTAAAACTTTTGAAATAATTACAAATTCATGGGTAGTTGCAAAAGATGGTCTGGAGAGGCCCTGTGTTCTTTTCCCCCAGTTTCCTTCATTGACAATATCTTGCCTACAGAGTAATATCAAAGCCAAGAAACTGACATTAGTACAGTCCATAGAGCTTAACTCCGATTTCGTCAGTTTTCCGTACACTTATTTGTGAGTGTATTTAGTTCTATGCAGTTTTATCACAGGTGTGGATTTGTGTGACCACACAGTTAAGGTACACAACATTCATCACAAGGATCTTTTGTGCTACCTCTTATGGGCCGGCCACCTCTACCTCCCTCCCCATCCCTAGCCCCTCACAACCACCATTCTGTTTTCATCTCTATAATTGTCTTTTTTTAATTTTCATTTTTATCACAGTTTATTTATGTATATTTCCTAAGGTATAATTTTAGAAATCTAGCTGCATAGATAACAATGTCACATTCTTCAAGTAAGAAGTAGAAAAATGTGAATAAAGGAAGCAGTAAAGAAAGAAAGGGTAGGGATGGAGGTTAAAAACTTAAGATGTATGATAAAATTGGCAAGCAAGAAGTAGGTGTTACCGAAATCTGGAACTAAAGCCCGCTATATTAGATTATGATATTTTTTGTTTTTAAGTAGGCTCCATGCATGTAGAGCCCAGTGCAAGGCTTGAACTCAGGACCCTGAACTCAAGACCTGAGCTTAAGTCAAGAATCAGAGGCTTAATCAACTGAGCCACCCAGGCACCTCAATATTTCAAGTTTTTAAGTAGGCTCTACATCCAGCATGGAGTACGAACTCACAACCCTGAGATCAAGAGTCGCTTGTTCTACCCACTGAGCCAGCTGGGTGCCCCTGATATTTCAGGTTTTAAGGAAAATGTGATCTTATGATCTTCCCAGATAACCAAATAGGAGCAACTAAAATCTGAGGTTTTATTTAGCTAAAGATTTTCATGAAGTCTTTAGAGTTGGGAATCTCCAGCCAAGTGCTGCTGGATTGATTTTTTTTTTTTCAAATTTAGAACTATTTATTGGGTATTTGTTTTTTGTTTTTGGGTTTTTTTTTTTGTTGTTTGTTTGTTTTCTTTCTTTCTTATAGCAGACCTAACTCTGAAAACCTGTAACTATTGGCAGGGTTCCTTTTGTTCTTCACTTTTGCCTTTGTCACCTGACTCTGTCTCCAAGGGAAACACATGCCTGCCCAGGACTCAGGCACCCTCAGGGGTTTCCTTTTAATTCACCAGGTTGTCGTGGCTGCCTCCTTTAAGGGGGGGGAGTGGTAACAGGTGGGGGGTGACGCCTGGGTGGCACAGTCG